TAATGTGAATTTATATGCGAATAATTTATTTTAATATATTAGCCGCATTCACAATGAGGATTATGAAAATTAAAAAAAAATAAAAAAAATAGTGACATTTTAAATATCGGGTGTATTATGTAATTAGATACAAAAAAATATACATATAGGTTTGGTTATTTTGCTTGGATTAAATTATATTAAAATATAATATTTTTGACTTTAAAACGATAAATGATGTTATAAAATATAACCAAAGAAAAAGTATATAATCGGAAACAATTAACCATTAAATTGTTAAATTTAATAGAAATAGGAAATCATGCTTGCTCTAATGTACTACAGTTAAGTTTAAAAAGTCAAGATTTTAGTTTGATCAACATCGCAACCGTTTATTACTTATTATGAACGTTTTGAATATTTTACGTATCGACAAGTCAAATCATTGTTATATTTCAACACTGAAATTGTCATTAATTATGCATAATAGAGAAAAAAAATTACATTCGTTATTTTCCAATACATTTTATGATTTTCGTATACAGTATTACAACATTGTACTAAACATTTATAATCATCGACGCAAGTATACATTAAAATATTATAAAACAGGTGACTTACAGTCAGATAAATTGTATTAATATTAATGTTTCTCGAACAGTATTTATTACACTAATATGTCTTTCGGAAATACACTATGACAAAGAAATACTATCTACATAATACTATAGTAACACAAAGCAGCAGCCACGTAAACGCCGGATAAAGTATTCTGTACGTGTTTCGCCAATATTACAGTACATAATTGGATGAAGTACAAACAGTTGTACAGTAACGTAAACAACTTATTGGACGGATGTACTCAGACGAACATCAACAATGTGCGCATCACGATTGCAATTAAATACTTAAAGTAGATAGTTAAAAGATAAAATAATATTTTCGAATCACAAAAGTCTAAGGAGGGTTTTGAAAAGTTTTCACAACAATAATACACTGTAATTAATAATTAAAATTTAACTAATAGTAATAGGACGGAGAAAAATTAGTTGAAATAAAATAGGCTGAACAGACATAACTGACGAGAGTCATAATAATAAAAATAAAAATATTATCGTTAAAATCAAAAAAAATCAGTCATTGAAGCAGATCAGTTGTACAAAAAAATAGTAATTTCAAATTATAGGCAATGACTATATGTATCAAAGAGTACAGTTTTAATTTCTTGGACAAAATTAGAGGTACTAAGTACTAATTGAATAATAAGTAGTAACTTATACGTAACTATAAGTTTAGCACGATTTAGAATAGTAGAAATAGAAACAATAAATTATGTTCTCTACGTTTGTTTTTATCTAATAATATACAATGATCGACTTGAACACTAATTTATGTTATATTATTGATTGCGTCATTTTCGAAAAGCGCTTCAAAATGTTCAGTATTTTTGATATTGTTATAAACGTTTATATATATATATATATATATATATTTATTTATTTGTAGAAACATATTTTTTATTTATAGTTTAAAAAAATCTAAATAGGTACAGTATATAAAATTTCCATAAAAAAAAAATGCACAAATCTTTTTAAACAAATCTCATTTTTTTAACACGATGACTTACTAAACTTACATTATATAGTATATTTATAGATATTATACGTAAATTATGCTAAAAAATATAAAAGTACTTATTAATATAATATATTTTGTACAAATTCAGAATACTTTTGAATCTAGTTATAGATTTGACTTGGCCAATGTTTTTTATTTTTATTTGATTTTTGGTTATTATTACTTTAATATGAAGTAAAATTGGGAACTGATTGATGATATGCCAGTGTATATCTTGTAAAATTGTAAAAAAACATAAAAAGTATTTATCTTATTAAATTCAAGCAGGTGCGCAGCCATTTATTGTATTATTGTTAAAACGAAGATGTCGTATGTATTTTGAATTTTGAAACGGTTGAACGTTAAATCATATTATTATATGTTCGCGAACGCATGGAAACGAAACAAGATAAATTGAAACCATATGAATCGGGATTGTGTGGGCGAAAAGGAGTAGATTCATTTGCGAGAGATGTTTGTTTACTATAAAGGAAACGGTATTCGAGATGACTGTCCTCGGAATTTTTTAAGTCTTCATCGTGATCCTCGTTTTTCAGATCGCCTACACCTACGCACCTGAACCCTGAAAAGCATGTATAAAATAAGAGAGGAAAAACCGTAAAAAAAATAAAAGATACTGTCGTGGATTTTTTTCAGGACCTGCCATGTTTGAGACGGAAGAGGAGGAGACTGGAGGCACGTAATTCGTAACATTTTGGAATTATCGATCACTTCAGCGGTACCCGGCAGCATAAAAGTATTCCGCTACAGCCCTGTCGGTATACACGTCGAGGGGACAGGTTACACGTACGCCGTACAACAATTGTCCTCTCCGGAGAACAGAATGCAGATTGATGTGGGATTTTTTTTTTATATTTATAGGGTTTTACTTTGGAAAAAAATATATAAAAAGGACATTCGAGGGAGGACACGCCGGGGACCAATCGCGTTCCACCGAAGCGTTCTATTTACGAAACGCGAGCGCGCCACGCGTACGGCATCTAAATAATATATTGTTACATCGGCCGTATCACCACTATTTTACACTCGTGTGGGCGCGTGTACAATCGAATTTTCGAATCAACGATTTCTTAGTCAATAATCAGTGCGAAATCCGTACGATGTGTTGGTTAATCGGAAACCGTGTACACGTAGTCGATCAATCGTGTGACGTCCGTGATGACGTGTGAGATTTCTCATTTAGCAAAATAATATTTATCCCGACCAGTCGACATCCCGGAGAATTTCGTGCATTTCTCGTTGGATTATTTGCGAAAAAAAAGCTAAATCTAGGCTATACTTAAGAGACGATCGATATGATTCGGTTGGCGTTTACTCGAGTGACGACGAATGGTTCCGAGCAGAAATCATAATTTCAGCACTATCCATCGCTATACAATACGTGCGTGTATTCAATGCGATCAATTACTTTCAAAATGTAAAAATGTAAACGGTCGTGTAAAAATGACAACAATACATTTAATATATAGGAACTTATGGCCCAAGACGATTCCGTACGTTATTTATACATACAACCTACTGTACACTAAAAATATTTCGTCGAACAAATATCACAAGAGTACATAAACAATTGAGTATCTGGACGTATTTAGATGTTTGTATTTACACAAGTTATTTTATACGCATTGCAATCCGTTGTAAACAACAATTATTCATAATGAGTTTCACATAATATTATATTTTCCGATTGAAATAGGTTTTAGGGAATACATATACAGATAGGTATGTACAAAATCTTACGAATACAATGGTAACTATATAATATAGTAAAAACGACGAAATTACTAAAAGTATACACACTTCTCGACGATTCGGTTTAGTATCTATTAGTGTAACCAGAAAAGTGGATTAAGCGAATTAGAAAAAATATATAATAAAAGAGTAATTATAACCTACATTAAAAATAAACACAATCAATTAATAAGTTTTTTTTTTTAAAAATATTTTCTTTTATTCGAAAAAAAAGAATGTTTAGATTTATCGAATAGAAAAAACTTTTTAGTATATTTTTTTCTTCGGACGGTTCAAAACTGATATCGGGTGATTCGTTCAACACGAGTACTGCAATTAACATTTAAACATTGAACCGATGACTACAAAAATACATGCGATTTTTGAAAAAAAAAATGTTTTATAGGTAATACACGCGTGCAAAACGTCTTAATCTTATGTTTTCAATAATATTATACATTTAAATTTTTAATTTTAACCTTTGTTTTGCGCAAAACGAAATATAATATACCGAATACTTCGCGGTTCATATTTGCATTTATTAAAATACTCGCACAATTAACTTATATAAATATATCAAAGCCACAAACAATATAATTATTAATTCTACTGAAATTTATAAAACGACAAACGTAAAAATGTTGTTGAATGTTTGTTTTTATTCACGTAACTCTCTCTTTCTCTATAATCGCTCGCAAATTGTTTATTTTAATGGTGGATTTCATTTTCATTTGGAGTTTTATACCATTAATACATTTGCTCTCTTTGAGGACGCCTAACCAATTACATTCTCTATTTTGGCACTACCGAATATATATATTAATTAATTTATATATAATATGCATACCTACGTCATCACGCCCTACTATTGTTGTTACAAGCATTGTGTGTGGTTAACTTAGATTAGGTGTTCATCACCGACTGTGTTGCTTTTGTATGCGACAGTGTGACTATAATCGTATTCGCAGAGTATTATATTTCATCCAAAAATCGTTACAAAACGTGAAAATATCAAAAAAGGATTCGACTATTTGTCAGTAATAATATTTTCATTAATTTATGGCCTCAGTTTTGTTTGACTACAAATCGGCTTGCACGAAAACGTGCCGTGAGCTAATTAATACGGTTGGACGTCGTCAGCGGGTCGGCGTCATTTTTCGAAATTTTAGAAATTTGAAAGCTACGCGAAAAGAGGATGGAGAAAACGTACGCAATGTACGAGTGCTTTGTGTGTTTAGGGTTCTCGTTGTTTTTAGACCGTTTCGGACGTACGTACTTGTGACCAAGGTTTAATGTACCGGTTAGGTTGCTACGCATTGCACGCGGATTGCAACACACTCTTTTCGCATCTGGCGCAAACGAATATCCGAGGGGAACTGTAACCGGAGGTGAGGAGGGAACTAGAAATGGACGATCAGTTTTTATGGTGCGGATAGTACCGAACTGGCGCAGCACGTCATAGTTAATCTGAGACAGTTGTTAATAGTCTGTACTAATCCGTAGCACGACGAAAGATTTACTAACAAATTTTTGTTTCGATTCCAAAAGATTTATCGTTAATGATTATTTTATATTATAGCCAACTTTCGAATTGAAATATATATATATACATATATACATATATATATATATACATATATGTATATGATAAATCTGATTAGAAAAAATAAAATTATGTTAAACGAACTGAATCTATAAAATTTAAATATTCAAACAAAGTATGGAATGAGCACTATGAGACGGCGTTAACAAATAAACGTACCGGAAAAAACTTGTTTGTAAAAATCGTGAAGATGATATACCGGTCAATGTCCAAATATACCTGTCCAAAGGGTTCTAACGATAGATTTTTACGAAAGGTAAAGGTTAAAAAAGAAATGTAACGTTCCGTCGACTCGATTGGAATCGGTTCCCAGAAAGAGCTGCTGAAATTATCTGAAATGATCACGCACAACTCGAAATCTACGGCAGCATAGTGCGGTAACGACCGGAGTTCGCGGCGAGAAAAATGTCCTTTCGTCGTGGACGTTTACACGTGTTTTTGACCGTTTTCGAGAAGAAAAACGCGTAGTCCATGCGCGAAGCCGCGCAACTCGTCCTCGGGGTCGGCGATTGGGCGGATAGGAGGTGATAAGAGTGGAACGCTCGGCGGGATATGGGTCCGGGCGGGATAACGTGTCGCAAAGCGGTCGGGTTGGTCATCGTTCGGTGATTTCCGGCCGATCAAGGGACGCCACTACGAATGGTAAACCAGTGAAAAATAATATTAATAATAATAATAGCTAATAATAATCATAATCGTAAATCGGCTAACGGATAACGATTGCGATTCACGTGGGGACCCGAGACCGATTACTGCGCGGTAGCTATTGCGGCG